GGTTGGGATATGTAGGCCCTAACCCGTTTTTACAGGTCAGGTATGGGTCGAGTTGACAGGTCAAGTAGATTTTTACCAAGTCTAGTCACGGACGAATCGAATCACCTGAAATGACTTGAACTTTTTTTATTAATTTTTTTATTAGATTATTTAAAAATTAATTTTAAAATTTTAATTTTCTAATCCTAAAAATAAAAATAAATAAAATACCTAAACTCTAATCTCTTATCAGTTTCATTTTCTCTCAACTTATTCTTTTTCTCTACTCTTGCTCTCCCCTTCTTCATCTCAAGCTCTTTTAATTCTTCTCTTTGTGACACTTGCATAAAAAATTAGATTATGTTGCACACAATGAGTTGTGTCATATGGTATTGTTATTATTATTTTTTTTTAAAAAAAAAGCAAGAATGCCTACTCAAAATCAATAGCTAGTAATTGAGGTATTCTCATCAACATTAGAAGCACAATGACAAAAATATCAAAAACATCAAGAACATCATGATTTGTTCTTAATTACTAATTTGTTCTAAATTACTAATTTATTCTTAATTAATAATTTGTTCCTAGTTAATAAAAATCAATCTCAATCCAATTTCTTCTAATATTTATTTAGACATATTTTGAATTTACCTTTTAAACTTTAATATTGAATAAAGCTATATTTTTGTACAATACCCTTTTAAATACTAAATAGAACTGTATTTTTTGTATAATACCTTTATAAATATTGAATAGACATTAAATATTAACATATATATTGGATTTATTCTCTAATAAAGATTAGTATCTTTATGAAATTATGAATTCTAAATATTGTATAAGCATTACATATTTAACATATGTTTTAATTCCACCTATATAATTAATAATACTTACATTTTCTTTTCTTGAAATTAGAATGAAAATTGAATCATGAAATGAAAATTGACGTTTAATAAAGTTTTTTTAACTAAATAGTTAATTAATATTAAACTTTCTTAAAGAAAAATAGAAAAAAAAAATATAGAAAATTTTTAATTTTAATTTTAATTTCTTTGAAGTTGGGTCCACTTGACCCAATCCGAAACTCATATGAGTGAATCATAGGCTTACCCCTTTAATCTAACACCTGAAATGATATAATCTGAAAAACCCAAAATCTGAGACGACCCAATCCAAACCCATCCAATCCTCAACCTGTTTGCCAAGTCTTAAACATGATAACCTACAATTCATATATAGACAAAAATGCCCTTAATTCCAAATTAAGAAAATTTTTCAAAGTCATTGGAATTTGTCTACATGAAAAATATTTGAAAATTTTCATTAGTCACTAAAATTTGTAAACTTGAAACAAAAAGTCTATAAACTTAAAAAAATATGTTGATTTATCAAAATAATTTATTAAAATGTCTGCCAAAAATACTTTATTTATACAATATAAAAAGAACAATCCAAAGTCAAATTTATCAAAAAAATCCATTAAAAAAATTATCATATTTGAATCTTGAAGAATAAAATTGAAAACAAAAAAACATAAAAACTTAATGGTGAAATTGACACACTAAGGTTACCAAAATAATTAGCATAAAAGCATCAAAGCAAAAGATCCATTTCTATTTTCCTAATATCCATTCACACAAAAACACAAAGTACTAACAGTCCCCAACCAATTGGTCAGTTGTACCTTATTTTATCACTTAATGTAAATAGATAACGGCAGTGCTTTTGCCTACAGTAACAAAAAATTACAATTAAAACTTTGTCAATTCTAATGTTCAAAGCCAGCCCAAAGAGTTAGTTTTTCCTACAAAATGGAAATGCAAAGAGTTTACTTAAAAAATGCAGCTGAATCAAACTTGACTAACCAAAACTAAATCATTCCTCAAAGAAATAAACAAAAACCCCAACATTTCAAGTTCAGATATCAAATCTAATGACAAGAAGGTAAGGGAAAAATGAAAAGATTTTTGTATTGTATAACTACTAAATGTTAAAACCACTTAGGAAATGGCTTACTATAACCACGAGTTTTAACATTTCCTAAACCCAACTCCTGCAGTGGTTGAAAGTAGAAATGAATCAACATCCCAAGTAAATTTTAGTAAACAAGTAAAGATTTCAAGCTAGGTTACTGCACGGATCAAATCAAGGAGGAATTTTCTTGGCGGCAAATAACGGGCAACAAAGAGTATAATTTAGCTTGAAAATCAGCAAAGTATAGCTAGAAACTGATCTGGAACAGCAATGATATTTTGCCCAAGGACCTAAGCCAAACCATGACAAGAACAGAATTTTGTAGTTAATTTCAAAAGGTAAAAAGGCTGCTATTTTTCTCAAGCCTTGCATCAATAAATTACAATGTAATTCATCATATTTTGAGTCCAAGAGAGGACTTCATGCTGCCGTAACTTCTTACCAGAATTTAGTGTGCAGATACACTCTAAATCCCAACTTGGAGGTGGCAGGCAAGGAGAGGAATTGGTGAACCAGCTGCAACTGATTTTAGCACCCAATTTTAGCTTATTCACCAGAAAATAGCAGAGCACCTGAAAGCTAAAGTAGCAACTCAAGTGCACTTGAACTTAGCCTAAAACAAATCAGAAAATAGCAGAATAAAAGGGCAAAACACTGGTCAGATTCTAAACATGAGGATTACAACAGAATTTTCTCCTTGAAGACAACAGAACTGGTTTGAATGCTTAACAGGAAAATTAAAGCTCTATCTCTTAGCTCTCTATAAAATCAAGAATGGCTTTAATGCGACAACTATAAAAGAAGTTATGGACAGAATACTACTCCAAGGTCAGGCTGCCGGAATTTGAATCAATTTACATACGGATTGAGCTGGAAATTTTCAGGAATTAAGGTAGTTCCAAACCAAAGTTTAGTATAAATTCTATAACAATTTAAGGCGAAAAAAAGGAAAAATCAGCCTTAAACACACCTAAAACAAGGTAGAAATTAGCTCAAAAACAGCAACTTCCATGAGGATAAAATTTGGGCAAACCCCCAGGTAAAAAGTGCAGAATTTTTAATGCACAAACAACAGCCCCAAAAACAAGTGCAGAATGCAATACAAGGGCAGAGAATTTTTAATTTGCTTGTTTTTAGTTTTGCAAACATTGCCTTTGGAATTTTCATTCAGACAAGCAATCCATGTTATTATCCAAAAGGCATCAAACTTAAAAATTGCTAGAGATGTTGAGAAAAATTCATGCATGAGTATAAGCTCATCAAACCGCACTCCCCCTCCAAATCAAGAAAATTTCATCAGAAACCTGAATCGAAAATTGAAAACATAACAACTAACTTCATTAAGAGACATCACCCATGGAACTGACCAAAAAAAGAAACATCACCCATAGAAATTGGTCGGAGATACTACTTAAGGATTTTCCACAAATCGACATACCCAATCAACAACCAAAATGTAAATCGGACTTGAATGGATGAGCACAAGCAGAGACGAAGGCTTACGGGCTTACGGGAATGAAAAGGAAGGCAAGTAACTCGCTGCCGAATGAAGAACAGACACCTACCACCGGCTACGGTAATGGTGACGGAGACGGTGATGGCGACTGAAATGGGGGAGAGCGAGGAGTTGGGAGCGGTCGCCATAAGAGGGTAAGTTCGAGATTTTAATTTTGATTCTGAAAAAATTACATCCCATCTCGACTAATCTCGTATGGGGATGGGATTCATTTCATTTCATTAGGTTAGGATTGCGTAAGGGTGAGGATACACTTTGTCTCATCTCATAACGCCACCAAAGGTTTAATCAATTTAATCTATATTCTTTTAGATATAAATTAAATAAATTCTTTATTTATTAAGTCACGCGTAAGAGAGGTCTCTCTTCTAATTAAACTGGGTTTAATGTCAGCAATAGAGAAATTTAGATTTAGCAATTTTTCAACACCATGCGCCCGATGGGGGCCGCGCGCCTCAATGAATGGGTAGGAGATTAGCTGTTTTGGGAATCCAATTTTTAATTTTTAATAATTTTTAATTCAATTACTAATCATTATTTTTGTAAAAAAAAAAGATTTAGCAATATTTCAAATATATAATTAAATTTTTTAAGACCTGTAGGAGCACGCACTCCACCACACTACTCTGACAATTCACCCTATCTCTGTCATGTCATTTGCATATATATATATATATATATTTGGTAAATATGTCATTTAAATATTTTAACTTTTCCCTCAAAAAAAAAAATTTTAACTTTTGATGAGCAACCGATTTTTTTTTTTTTAACAGTGTATAATTTTTAGGGAAAGTGAAATGAGATTTTTAAGATGTGAATAAAATTCGAAAACTCGACCAATAAACCTAAACTTAAAAGGTTTTGGATAAGTCATTAGAACCCGAAAGTTGGATTCTGATGGAAAATTAATTTAGGGTGCGTATAAGCTTACGGTTGGTGATTTTTTGTGTAGTTACATAATATTTTTAGATATATATGTGTTGGATAATTTTTTTAAAAATTATTTTTAAAAAAAATTACAAAAAGTGACAACAAATTTATAATATTTTTATGTATAAAATCAAAAACTTCATTTTAAAATTTTATGTATATGACTTTTCTCCCTTTTCATCAATTACAACTATCACACCTTTAGCTTCCTTAATTTTGCAATCCACCTCATTGATCAATTTACTGCTCCACTCCTTTAGTACTTTTTTTATGTTTTTTAGTTTTTCATTTAACTTAAATCCACTCCTCCCCTTCACTTCATTGTGATTCCACATGTTTCTAATCACCTCTTTGCATCTTGGTTGTTCCAACCACTACAAGCGGATGTATTTATAGTGACGGAAGTTTTCCGTCAATATACACCTCTTTTCCGTCAGTATACACCCCCAGGGACTATTCCGACGGAAGAGCTTTTCGTCGGTGCAAACCCCATCACTATAGGGTATATACTGACGACTAATCCATGGGTATAGACCCTGAGATCTATTTCGATGGAAGATTTGTCCGTTGGTATAGACCCTGAAAAATTTTAAAAGATTTATCCGTTGGTATAGACCTTGACCTTTACAGATGGATAATTCCGTCGGTATAGACCCTAAAAAATTTTAAAAAATTTTACTGTGGGTATAGACCTTTACCCTTACAAATGGATAATTCCGTTGGTATAGATCCTTTTTTTTTTTTTTTTACAATTGGTAATTCACTTTTATTCTATAATTTTCTCCTGCACTTATTCTTTTGCTATATTGATAAAAACCTAACTCATTTTATTCATATATTGAGAACAAATGGTACTCTAACCCATTTTACAATACACAAAAATCTCTATAAAATAAATTTCTCATCAAACAATACCATTCATTCACTACCCTTTTATCCACTACAATATAATATGGAAATTCAAATAGGAGAATCCAACTGTAAACACAGAAAATAGTAACTATGTTAAACATACTTGGCACTTATCACAGTTCTTTAGCTCCTTCTCCAACTTTTCCATTGATACTGAAAGCCTCCCAAGTTCCCCAAGCTGATTTAAGAAGAATATTCATATAAAGATCTAAAGCTTGTGAAGAATTTAATGGCAAAACAATTATTGCAGGAGAGAACTTTATATAACTAATAATGATCAACAAACCTCAACCAAGCTGTTGCAAATTGAAAAACCCAT